TAAAAAACGGGGGGTCGGTGGCCGGGGGTGGAAGAGGAGAGGCGGGACAAGAGAGAGTGGAATAGTATATATATTTAAATGATATTTGAAATTGGTGGGTGATTACTACCCAAATAAAAAAAAGAAAAAGTAAAAGCCAAAAGAAACAGAAGAAAAGGAAAAACCAAGGGGGGGTTGCCCAAACTACCCACAGGTAGTCGTATATCTATAAAAAAAAAAATGTTGTGGGTTCCGTGGTTTTACTTTGTTTGGCCTGTGGTGGAGGGGGGGGTCGCTTGCCGGGGGTGGCGTGTGGGGGTAGGTAAGGGGGGATAAACAAAACCTCCGTGATCTCGGCCGTGATCGTTGTTCGGAGGGGGTCAGCGGCATCATCACCTGGTTCTTCAAGCACGTCCGGCCACCGCCAGCACCACCCTCTTCTCACCCACCACCAGCATCAACCACCACCAGCATCAACCACCACCACCATCACCACCACCACCAACCACCATCACCACCACCACCATCAACCACCACCACCATCACCACCACCACCATCAACCACCACCACCATCACCACCACCACCAACCACCATCACCACCACCACCCTCTCCCGCCGCCGCCGCCGCCCCCTCACTGAGCAGATGCCGGCTGCAAGCTCCAGCAGCCCTCTGTGCTCTGTTCCTATCGCAGCAAAGTTGACATGGCTTGCTCTCATCTGTGCCTGCATTGGTCTGACTCCCCACTGGGCTGTGTTCTCCATGCATACACGGCGCCTACGCGGACCTGGCCCACTGAGGGCGTCGAAGAATGTGAGATTCTTCCACTCAGGGACTGAACAAATGGGCATTAGGGACGGAGCACTGCTTTTAGGGTAACTATCGTGGAAGGGGGTCGGGGGGAAAGCCACCATCGAATGCAAATTAACCAGTTTTCTAGAGAAGAATGCCTACCACTTAGTAGCAGCGTCAACTTGGATCTGTCACTACCTCTTTGGGGCCTCAGTTCCTCAGGCGTAAATGGGAATAATAATGACAACAGCTCCGGCCTCCCGGATGGTGGAGGGGATTCGATGAGTTCGTGCCACCGTTGCCGGTGCTCTCAGGCCTAGAGCGCCGGGCCCAGCTCAGCACCGGCCGGCGGGCAGGCGCTGAAAGGGGGCGGCGCGGCCGGACCGCGAAAGGGCGACCCTACCTCGGTAGCTGTGCATGCGGCGGCCCGTGCCCGGCGGCAGCGTGGGGTAGGGCTGCGGCTCGCCGTCGAAGTTGAGCCACACAGGAAGCACGACGCGCGGGCTGCGGTTGCAGAAGATGACCTGGGACGGCTCGCGCGAGTTCACCGAGCGCAGCACCGGCCGCGGCCTCCCAGCCTCCATCTCCTCCGCGGAGCCTGCCGCCTCCGGATCCCACTCTCCCGAGCGGTACTCTGAGGGAGCGTCCTCCTCAGCGCCCACCCCGGCCTCCCGCAGGCTCCCCGCCTTCCAGGTCACTACCTCGGGCGCCTAGACAACCCCGGCCTCCGAGCCTCGGGATTCGCGGACCACAAGGGGCGGGGCGGGGCCTCCAAACGGACGCGCCGTATCACAGCTCTCGGTGGAGGGCGGAGCGTACCTTCGCAGACATGTGCTGGTTGGCGGCTATGCGCATGCGCAGATGAATCTCCCTAGCCACAGGGGCCAATGCGCATTGAGGCTATGCGCATGCGCAGATGGATCCCCCCCCCCCCCGCGCCACAGGGGCCAATTTTCACGGAGGCAGTGGGTGGCGCTCGGTCACCCCATTCCCGGGTTTCCCTTAGAAATTTGTTTTTCTTTCCTCCTGTTAGTTTCCGTAGTTTTATTCATCCTCTTAAGGCCATTATGCTTTTTGCCATATTCTCCCTACCATCTGCGCTATTGTTTATTTATTTTCTCATTAATCGTTTTCTCTCCATTTGGGGTCACAAAATTAAGTATAAAAATCTTCCCTCTCTTCCCCTAGCCACCCAGAAAGAGTCCCTGGAGGCAGCAAGTATCAGTTTTTTGTACTTCCTGTTAGGTCGAAAGGGGATCCAGGAGCTGATGCATGCCTCAGCCAGGCAGATGGTGATGTAGATACTGTGCCCTTCCTAGAATCCGTAACTGGCCAGTGCACCAGGTAGATGGTGACGCAGATACCGGTCCCGCCCTGGAATTCCTAACAGGTCAGCTACCAGGCAGATGACGACACCTGGAAACCGTGAGGACCCCGGCAGCGGGAACTCCCACAGCTCATGCTCCCCCGCCCTCACTGAACAGCTGTATAAAAAAAGCGCCCCCCTCCCTGTTGGTGCGGATCCACGTGCCCTGTCTTTGGGATCCGTGGGCAGCCCAGGGACCCAGAATAAAGCCTTTCCTTTCTTTCTTTTCTGATTAACTGGACTCTCTTTATTTCCTACGCCGCCTCCTGAGCCACCTAACAATTCCTTTCAAAGATATTCTATGCATATGCAAGCAATTAAACCAAGTTTGAGAAGAATTTTTATATTAGTACTATCAATAGAAATTCATTATCCCTTGCCATAAAAGAGTACAGTGGAACTAAGTTCAAAGAAAACAAAACAAGTTATTTTGTATCTATTGTTTGTTTTTTAAATAAATTTTTATTGATTTTAAGAAGGAAGGGAGAGGGAGAGAGATAGAGAAACATCAATGAGGGAGAATCATTGACCAGCTGCATCCAGCATATGCCCTGACTGGGGATCAAACCTCTACCTCCTGATTCGTAGGTCAACACTCAACACTGAGCCACGCCTGGCCAAGCTATCTATTGTTTGTTTAAAGCACTTGACCCTGCTTTTGCTTTAAAGGGATTAGCCACGTGTTAGTTGTCAAACCAACACTCTCCTGAACATAATCAGAAAGTTGTTGGTTTTTTTTAGAAAGATTTTTTTTAAAAGAAAGATTAAAGGAAACTGAAAAGGGAATCACTTTTCACACTGCAGTGTGTGCCCTCTGAAATTCACACTTGGCGGTAGCGAAACAGCACCAGGTGTTAGACCAGTGGGGTTATACCAGACCTGAGTTCAGCAACCTCACTACTTGAATTCTGGCTAGGAAACAATTCAAAGCCAAGACTCAAACTACTGTATATAGAAGTAGAACTATTTTGTAGAAGAAAATGGGCTTAGGAAACAAGTTATAGAGGCAAAGGAAGGGCTCTTGGAGCTTAGAAGTAAGAAAGGTAAAGGTGAACCACCTGTCAGGGTGACATACAATGCATTTAATGCTAACTAACAGGCCCTGACCAGATAGCTCAGTTGGTTAGAGCATTGTCCCCAGACACCATTTTTGTAGGTTTGATCTCTGGTCAGAGCACATACAAGAAGCCAAATCAATGTCTCTCTCCTTTCCTCTCTCTCTAAAGTCAATCAATATAAAAAAAAATTTAAATGCTAATAATGAACAACTTCTTAGACAAATGGTTTATCAATGCCAAACTGAGTTACTTTATCATTTATTAAACTGGGACATCTTTAAAATTATGTCAACAAAATGGATTTCACCTTATAATGCACTTATTTTCCATTTTACTCTTAAGGTCACACTGGAATTGTCACATTGAATGAGTTCAAATTTAAGGATAAAAGTAAATCTCAATTCAAAATGTCTTATGATGTATAGAAATTCTTTGTACTATTGTTGAAACTTTTCTACAAGTCCAAAATTTATTTTACAAAAAATATTAATATTATTCTTTAAAGAATACCTTGATTTTTAGAGAGAGGAAGGAAGAGAGAGAAACATGGATGTGAGAGTACAACATTGATCTGCTGCACACCCCCTACTGGGACCAAGCCAGAAACCCAGACATGTGCCCTTGACTGGGAATCGAACCAGCAACCTCCTGGTGCACAGGACCATACTTAACCGAGCCACAAAAAAAATTTTTGGCCAAGGCACAAAAAATTATTTAAAAACAAAAACGTTATGAGGGGACGGGGCTGAGTTCCCGGAGGTGACTGCGCAGGCGCAGGGAGGGGGGGCCCTCGGATGGAGGCGATGTTTGCGCTGGAGTCAGGGTGGGCGCCGCTGGGAAGCAACCCGAGAGGACCGAGCCCTGCTGAGGTCCTCGGAGAACATCTTGTGGACAAGAACGTGCTTCTCTGGCTCAGGGTGCGCTTGCGTGGCCATGAGAAACCACAGGACGGCGCTGCCCGGAGCAACGCATTCCACCTGAGCAGCGCAGGGGGAGCAGGCCATGTACTTATCCACCCCACCTGCCCTGCGCGCTGCCCCTCCTCACACGAGGACTATGGGGAGGAGGAAAGGATGCCACCACACGGGTGAAGCCCAAGTCCGGGGCGGCAGTGACGTTCGGGGACCTGGCCATCTACTTCTCCCAGGAGGAGTGGGAGAGGCCGAGGCCCGTGCAGAGAGGTCTGTACAAGGACGTCGTGTTGGAGAACTACCAGACCCTGGTCTCTCTCGGACTGTCCCGTCAGAAGCCAAATGTGATCGCCTTGTTGGAGAAAGGGAAAGCACGCTGGATGGAGGTATTCGTGGAAAGACACCGTGGCCTGGGATGCTGCAAGGACGCCAGACGCGTTCAGGTGGGCGGGGCTGTGTGCCGGGCTTGGAGACAGGTCCCGCAGCAGAAAATGCCTAAAGAGCAATGTACCTCTGAAGCTGAAAGAAGGCGTTATTATCGACAGAAAATGTCTGAAGAGCAACGTGCCTCTGAAGTTGAAAAAAGGCGGCGTGGGTGACAGAATGTATCTAAAGGGGGACTATTGGCACAATGTACCTCATTAAAAATGAGGCTACACATCCGATCATTTCTCCAAAAAATGAGCAGGTTCAAAAATTAAATGAAGAAATTTTGGATATACTCAACGGAAATTTTCACACATATTTGAATGATGATTCCATTGATTCAACAGATGATGCTGAAAAGGAAAAATTTCCTATCGAATTTCTTAATAGTATTACTCCTTCAGGAATGCCGTGTCATAAATTAAAATTGAAAGTGGGTGCAATCATCATGCTATTGAGAAATCTTAATAGTAAATAGGTCTTTGTAATGGTCTTCAATTTATTATCAAAAGATTGTGACCTAACATAATCGAAGCAGAAGTATTAACAGGATCTGCAGAGGGAGAGGTTGTTCTGATTCCAAGAATTGATTTGTCCCCATCTGACACTGGCCTCTATTTTAAATTGATTCAAAGACAGTTTCCCATGATGCCAGCATTTGGGATGACTATTAATAAATCACAAGGACAATCTCTAGACAGAGTAGAAATATTCCTACCTGAACCCGTTTTCGGACATGGTCAGTTGTATGTTGCTTTCTCTCGAGTTCAAAGAGCGTGTGATGTTAAAGTTGTAAATACTTCAGCACAAGGGAAATTAGTAAAGCACTCTCAGTGTTTTCACTCTTAATGTGGTGGAATACAGGGAGATATTAGAATAAGTTTAACCAATTTATCACTTGTTTGTATCAGTGTTATTTTCCTATCATGTTTTTAGATGTTTTTGTTGTTTTCATATTGTTTTTATATCATCTTATTATATCATGTTGTTATTGCTTATTAATAAACATATTATTTAAACAAAAAACATGTTATGGTTGGGAAATGCAGATCCTTAATACCAGAAGGATGTGGATTAAGGCACAATACCAATCTCACACTTGGTAGTCTCAAGCCCAAGGTGCCAAAGGAAACTGTGCCCCCACTTTTTTGCAAATGCAAATGTTAATGCAATGGACACCACTTAGCTACATGTGACAACTGCCCTTTTACTCTTTCAGGTTGTCAATGAGATCCAGGGAGAGGCTAATAAAGGACCAGCGTGGCACAGAAAACAAAACCGACTTGGGAGACCCTGAATGGCTCTGGCTGTCACTTGATCCGGGAATAAGACCTGGGTTTTAGTGTTGTCTTTGCCACCATGTAACTAGATGGGCGTGTCACACAACCTGTCTGGGCTCGCGTCTTCATTTTCAAAAGGCAGGAGTGGACTAGATTCTCTCTAAAATTTTTTCTCACCTTTAAGTTTTATTATCAAAAGATTGTGACCTAACATAATCTTTGGACAACCTTTGTTCAGGCTGGTTTTTCTCCAGAAAAACAAACTTGAGAGCACTAACCCAACCTGATTTTCTTGTTTACTCTACTTGACAGCCACTGCCTTCAGAAATCAGCTGTATTTTTGTGGTTACTAATGGCACCACTGCCTGCAAACTTCCCTAACACATTCTCCACAGGCAAGTGGAGACAAATGTTTTTTTTGCAGGCAACAGTATGAAACTGAATACAAATGCTGGCAAGGAGCCGAGAGATAAATAATAGGCTCTTGCCCTAGCCGGTTTGGCTCCATGGATAGAGCGTAGGCCTTCAGGCTGAAGGGTCCCAGGATGGATTCTGGTCAGGGGCACATGCCTGGGTTTCGGGCTCGATCCAGTAGGGGGTGTGCAGGAGGCAGCCGATCAATGATTCTATTTCATTGATGTTTCTCTCCCTCTCCCTTCCTCTCTGAAATCAATAAAAATATATTTAAAAAAATAATAGGCTTTCTATCCACTTAGTATGGCCCAATAACACTGTTCACAAACATAGGTCTACCTTTATGAAATAAAGGTGGAAAGTTCAAAGTAGTGAGTGACTTTGAACTTTAAGTGAACTAAGTGAATCTTGAACAAGAGCAAGACAACAGAACTTGGTACATCTCTAATGCCCAAAAAATCAGTTCCCTATTTTCCTGCTTCTGAAAATCGTTCAAGCTTAGTTTTTAAAAAGATTGAAAACTGCTTTATTATCAAGATATGTATAATCTATTTATGCCTAATAGCTCACTAGTTCAAACCCCTTACTCTAGTTTTTTTTTTTCCAATAAATATATGAATTAAACCAAATTGCCAGGTAGAAAACACTTTCAAGTGTATGGGAAAGAAAAAATTCCCTTGAGGGCTCTTATGAAGAACAGAGATTTTTCCTATTTAGCTCATTTCCACTCAAGTTAAAAAATAGGAAAAGTCCTTCATAATTATCCTTTAGAAATCATTAAGATTTCATGAGGAAAGGAAGAGAAGCACAATGTGGATAAGTTCCCTACAATATCTAATATATGAACAAGAAAAAGAACTAATTTTTCATTATGGTGAGATGAATGAAAACAATTTGGACTAATAAAATCTGGATATATTTAACATATCTCTGAAACCCATTCTCCTTATGGTTCAAATCAGAACAACTATTGCCCTAGCTGGTTTGGCTCAGTGGATAGAGCATCAGCCTGCAGGACTGAAGGGTCCCGGGTTCAATTCCAGTCAAGGGCACATGCTCAGATTGCAGGCTCAATCTCCAGTAGGGGGCATGCAGGAGGCAGCCGATCAATGATTCTCATCATTTTTTTAATTATTTTTTTTTTATT